ACACACACACACACACACTCATGCACACACACATCCCTGCCTCATCCGCCACCCTCCAGCGCTCACCCTCCATTATCTAAACACAATACAGATGAAATGGTACCCAGATTAATTGCCCTTCGGCTCATTCTCCTATCTTCATCTACCATCGAACACATTTCATAATGAAAATGAAGCTCATCTTCATTTAGCAGCCTTATAACTTAAGTAGTTGCTTTGATGTGTCAAAAGAAATAGGTAAGTCATTGATCCAAGGGTGCCGGTGCTGTTTCAATCTGTTTCATATTATTGCTGCTCTGCATTGCAGGAACTTCATGTGAAGGTTGCACCAGAAAAACCCTCTGGTCAAAATTGGGATTTCTCAAAAGGATGAAGAATTGTGTTCGCTTTTTTTAAGTTATTGCCTACTGCCAAACATGCCCATGTCTGTATGTGCTTGCATGTAGTGTTAGCAAAATATCTCACAAACCAATGGAAACATTTAATTAAACTCTCTCAAAGTAATAACTAGATGTTCATCCACAGCCCAATGACTTTTAGAGTCCGTCTGATGTAAGTTATCTGCCACAGCCAAGCAAACTTAGCAAACACAAAATTAACTTTAACTTAGTCAGTTCTACAGATATTGTGCTAAAATTTGGTCTGGGAGTAGCTGACAATAATCCTCAATACATACTCCAGTCCTTTCATAACACATCCCAGGAGATGAAATTGTGTTTGAACCCTTTTCAGCACAATATGACCTTAGTTTAGAACTCTGGCATGAAAGGTGGTTTAAAGGAATACCAGGCTTTTAACAATGTACAGTATGTTACTTATGTCTCAGAATATGCTGTGGAATATGAAGTTGATTGCATGAGGAATCCTAGTGCTTAGGGATTTTCTTGAACTACTTTCTGCCTGATTTTAGCCTCCTGTGTGAAATTTTCATGATGAATTACTTGCAGTTTAGGATCACTGTTAAATTAAAAATACACAAACGCTGCCCAACATTTGGGATATCAACTGTACCCCTAAATTATGGGAGTTGAAAAGATGTTGTACGAGCCGAATTTTTACTGGAGATGGTGATGAGGCCAGATTACTGGGCGGTGGCAAAGTGGAACAGTCTGACCGGGGTTTGACACCTAAACCAAAAACTGTATATTTAAAATATAAATAAATAAAATATACTGCTGGAGAGGTGGGCTTCATAGAAAATCTCCCACCTTTGGGGCCCTTTAAATGAGTTTCAGCCAGGCGTAGCTTCGAGTGAGGCTAAATTCCACTGAGTCCAGATTTACATAAATAGAATCAGAAGAAGACACAAGATACCTGAGAGGAAAAAAAAAACTAAAAAAAGGAGTATGAGTTGTGCTAAGGTAATTGGTGAAGCATTGAACCACTGTCCTAGATAGAACTGCAAAGCTACTGTTCCCACCTTCCCACTGTAATCTACTTTAGGAAGATACGGGCGGTGGTCCCTGGGGTGGCAGGTGGTTTGTGGAACACAGGATGCAGAATGACTTCCACCTCATAAGATTAAGACAGTAATTAATTGACAGTTTTCTAAACACCTCCCTCACCCGGTGGTCATCCAATCACAGGTTTGCAATTGTTGCTACCTGGGCTCCTATATATATATCCCCAAACTGAAGGGATGAGAAATCCAAAGTTTGTCTTTTGGCTACAATACTAAATCCAAAATACTAGAGTAGGAAAAATGTAATATATTTATTCAGTATATATCAATTAGGTGCATGTTCAACTTATTGCTTTGCTGCCTACAGTAAGCTCATACTCTCAAGGCCAACAGGCATGCAATCAAAAATAGAAGAGAACATGGTGAGCAAATCCTCCACCAAAAGCACATGTCCATTTTTGTTGGGGCTGTTTTTAGCAAAGTGATCCAGAAATGCACCCACATTGGAGAAGTTCTTCTTTTTGCACCAGCTTTCCAACAACTTTCACTGAGTTTTGTTTATGTCCTTTTCAGGATATTACATATAAATGCTAACATTCAGCCTAGAATTTTGAAAAGATTATCTTAAAAAGAGTTTTGGTCAAACCTTAAAAAAAGGCAGTTTGGGTGATTTCATGCCATATTGTGAAATATTACCATTCAGAGTGTGTGTTGTGAGTGAACCTCAGCCACTGTTGTACTGTCTTAGCTCAACCCATCACAATCTATCCATCTAAAAAATGGCTAAGTTGTAGACTTTTGTGTTGGCTAATGTTGATTAGCTGTATCTTAAAGCAGACTTACTCCAAAAGTTAAAGGAACTAATCTCAAAATATCTAATCAAACATAACAAAGGTCATCTTAAACTATATCAAATGGTGCCATTTGAAACAGTTTGCTTCAATAGTTTCCCAGATTTGCTGAAATATCATACACATTTTATGTAAACAAAGTGCTGCTGAAAACCACGTGAAAACTTGAATCGCACAATTGACCTACATTAGACTGGCTGTACTGTGTAGGTAAACACCAACCTATACCTGGGGTGAGCTTGACTTTGTTCCATGGAAGAAAACACAGCTTTTGTTTTGTTCACATAGGGACCAGATGGCTCTTCAAAGTTACCCTGGCACCCCATTTCCTTCCGGAAAAACCTGGGGAACATGGTCTATATCTCTAAATCCTCAAAACACAAGCTCCTACAACTTCATGCATGTCAAGTTGTACGGATTGTCTAAATTACACACTCCGAGCTTCCCTGGTTTTGTGTCGTCCAGGGAAACTCCGACCAATTGGCAAACCTTGGGTTTAGGAGGAGCAGAGTATCTTTCATTTGGGTCTTGGAACAGTGCTTATATACAGAGGTATAGAGAAAATCTCTCCAAAATTTTCAAAAACTCAGCTTCAAATTTATTTTACATCTGAGAGACTGCCTGTTCCTGAATTCACCCCCACCCTCCTCCTCTCACCAGACTGTATCTTCTCCCCTGCAGATGCTGCCAATCCCCCATCAAAACACACACCCACCAATACCCACAGAACACATCATCCCCAGCCTGCACTACCACAAATGCCATTACCCTATATTCCTGTTGTATTGTGTGAGGGTACTACAGGTACTTTATGAAATTTACAGATTTCTGAAGGTCAGAATAAGGCAAATGTCCAAAAGTGTTGACATGTATCCAACCCCCCAAGCAGCTCTGCAAAGGTAAGATACTGTTCCACAGTCCAAATGAAAACCACTCTGATCCTCCTAAATCCAAGGTTTGACAATCGGTCAGAGCTTGCTTCCCTTCCAGAATCCTGGACAACACAGTACCGGGGAAGCTCAGAGATGTGACCCCCCAACAGGTATAACTCTCATGTAAGTGATATGAGGTGGAGTTTGTGGCTTGTGAGGCAGATTAGTTTCAAACCCCTTTAAAAAAATAAGACACTGTTATAAATTCTGTCATGCATCATAAATGATGGGGATTGCCTCACTGAGAAATTAGAGGTCACAATCTTGATTTGATTATCTGTAGTTTGATTGGGACTTTCTGTGTGGAGTTTGCATATTTTTATGTTTGAGTGGATTTCCTGTGTACTCCAGTTTCCTCCCACAGAAACAAAAACATGAACGTTAGGCTGTCTTCAGGCCCAGGGCTCCATTGCAAGAGAGAGCTGTGACTTTAATGGGATTTTCCTGGTTAAAATCTAAATAAATAAAAATAATAATTCTGATTCAAAGTCCAGTTTTGTGATCATCTGAACCTTAAAAATATAGACTCTTCCATTTAAGCAGTAGAGACCATAAACAGACGATGCAGTCCACTTCATTTACTGAAGCTTTTAGTTAATGTCTTACCCTTAACAAAATAGGGACCACTACAGTCTGCCCAACCTCTAAATCTATCGTTACCTCAAACACCGTGGTTTTTCTGTATTTTAATATGTTGTTTTTGTAAATGTTCTCACTACCTAAAAAGGAATGGTATTTCAGCATTTTTGTCGGTAGAGGTTTTTTCAGACATAAAAAAGGATCCAAAGCAGTGTAAACAAAGACTCAGATGTTCAAAATTTCTATGTAGCTTTTATGTGTGTATCCTCTTTTAAAATTTTTTTTGTTCCTTTAAAATTCAGTTGCAAACATGAAAATGTCCAAACTAATTGTTTAACCAACTTCCAAAACCAATGTTTGCCTAATTAACTAGTCAGAGCTGGTATTTGTCGTGTCAGAAGACAAAATCTTCAATTGCTGGCCAGAAATGAAAAGCAGCCTTTTTTCCTGCCAGTGCTATCAGTGTAATGAGTCATGACTGACAGGCTTAGCAACAGTAACCACAGAAGGCAGAGCTCTTAACAAACAGTACATTTTATACTAGAGTGAAAATGTTCATTTTGTGTCTGTGTGTTTCTGTTTCCTCAGACATTTCCTGTTCAAGCAGGGGTCTGGTTCGTCAGCGCTGCTGTCGGGGGCAGGGCAGGGATACCCCCTGACCTCGGGGACAGTTTACTCCCCTCCACCGCGACCCCTCCCTCGTAGCAGTGTCACCAGGCCGCTTTTTACCTTCAACAAGCCCCACCGCTGCTGCAACTGGAAGTGCACAGCCCTGTCTGCGTCTCTGCTCACGCTCACGCTGGCCCTGCTGCTCACATACGTCATCGGTGAGTTACCGGACACATCCGACTCGCGCCTCCTCTGGTTATTATCGCCCAGCGATGACATCTTTGCTTGGGCCTGTGTGGTTGTGTTTCTGTTTGTTATGATTTTATGAACCACTGGACAATTTGCAATGACACTCTGAAAGTTAACAGGGATAGACACGTACAACTGAACCATAAAGACTCAACCTAATTCAAGATGGCGGCCAAAATCCAACTAATGTCAAAATACACAAAAATAGCTGAATAACTCAGTCTTTTTTTATAGATATTGACTTAAACGTTAGTGTGATATTAGTTTAAATGGATTTGCAATCAGAGTTAAACATCACACAATCAGAGTTAAACGTCACTAGGGTGTGCACTGCTGGCACCTGTGACATCGTAGAGACGCCCGAACAGTGCAACAGTTCACAGCCGACAAAGAAACTTTTTGATTAACAGCAAACCCAACTGGATCTGTGTCACAATTTGTTTGTAATCTTTTTACAGTACGTTGTTAATTATGTTCATTTCATCCAACAATCATATAAAATAGCAGATGATACAGTATATAAGGAAAATATATAAATAATGATTTAACTTAGACTTTCAAGCTAGTTGAATAATTATGACTTCAACTAGTAATAAATCATATATTTATTATATATTAATTATTCTCAGTGGTGGGCACATTTCTCCTAAAGCACAAAAGCACTAATAGGGGAACTAATTTCCTGATAGTGCTTTAGGGCTTTTGCTAATTTTAAAATGTATTAGTGGATTAGCACTTGCTAAATTTATAGGCTAACTTTAGAAGCACTAACTGAGTGAGGTCTATAAATGTCATTGATCAACGTTAATGTTAACAGCTGACGGTGAAAGATGTCACACATTTTGTTCATATGTGTGTCACTTATCCACTAGGTGACATATTTATAATATATGAACCCAAATATGGTTGTGGAGTGTCGATGATAAGTCTTAATAGAGCAATATGAGACTCGTTGTCTGTTGAAGTATGTTCATGAATTGACTGGGTTTAGTGCTTTAGAATTAGCTTTTGCTAAACATTTTCAGTGCCTTAGTGATTTAGAATTAGGGAACCTAATTATTTGAGGTGTTTTAGGGCTAGTGGAACTAATTTTTAAATTAGTGCTGCCCAACACTGATTATTCTTTACCTTTTATGGTTGACACTGCATTTCCGGTGCTACTTTAGAATTAAACTTTTCTCTACTGATTCAGCAGAGTGCTACACTCTGTATAGCAACATATGCTACAGAAGCTAATATCTGCTAACCAATTCAATAATTAACAATCATTACATTTGCTTAGTTAAGCTCATTTTAATTTTAAACTGTAACTTTATCTGACCAAGACTCACTCTTAATCTTAGTTTGAAGTTCAGCGATTAACTATTTGAAGTCAGCTCTGCCAGCAAGTTGCCTCATAAACAGACACTTTTTAATGAAACTTCCAGGAAATAATCACTGGATGTACAACTGATTACATCTTTGAGCCAACTCTCTTTAGAATGGCTGTCACGGTCATCTGAATTTAGAAAACACTAAAATGAGTCAAACTCAAACAATTTTACTGACAGTGTTCTAAAACTTGTTGTGGTCATAGCTGAAATGTGTATTATGATTCAGTTTTACAGATGTTACAGCTGTTGTAGTGGTAGCGCAGAGTCATTTATGACCCGTGCTTTAATCATGACATGTCATGGGAACACACGCAACATTCTTCAACAGACAACATGAGTCACATATTGCCACGTTGCTCTCTATCATTGATATTCCACAGGTGTATTTGGGTTCATATATTGCCAACCTTAAAAACGTAACCATCATTTCTCATCATGAGATGACCATGAGATACTGGCATCAAAGGCGGTGGACGATATGCATTCCTTCAAGGGTAGGCCTTTAATTGTTTACAAAAATGATGTTCTCACACATATTGTCCTGACAAACAAAATAAAGCATCAGTTAACTAAACTAAAATCAGCTCTATGTGAGCTGTAAACACTCCTGCTGGTATTGAGTAAAATGACACACAAAAAAACAAAAAACAAACAAAAAAAGAACACAAACAAAAAGTAAAAAGGAAAAGAGATCGATCAAGGATCAAAGCAAGATGGCTGAAATTTGTTCAGTTTCACTCTGAAGCAGGATTGTATTCCAAACCTGACCCCCTGTAGAATATTTTAAATTGCAAATGAGCTGTCCCAGACCAAAGCACAGAAAACCAGTAATTATTCAGCGTTGAATAAATGCACACAGACAAGTTGGTTTTCTATCCTCGTGGGGACTTTGCACTGACTTCCATTCATTTTCCAGTAATTTCCATAACCTGACCCTGAGCTTTTACCCTAAACCTAACCATCTCAGTACATATCTGACAGTAAATGTAGCCTGAACTAAATTCACATCTTGGTCCTAAAACCAACACACCCCAACCCAAAGTTGGCATCCACACCGCTGGGGACCAGACTTTCTTCCGCATGAGGAGCATTGGGTCCCCAAAAGGCTGTGTTTGTCTGGAAAATTGTCCCCATGATCAAAAAGAAAAAAAAAATTGTATAGGTCTTCTGGACGGGTTCTTCTCTAATGAAACGTTTCGTCTCTCCTCCAAGAGACTTCTTCAGTCTGAGAGTTTCAGGCAAAATTC